ACGACAAGTAATGGGAATCTTGTTATATTGACACTTTTCCATTGATCAATGTTATGTTTGTTTAATTTATTTACAGTTTACAACAGTCTATTGACGTGATCGATAGTAATACTGAAGCCAGTCATAACTGTTACTAATTTTGAAACAAAAACCCGCTACCGTATCCTAATGAGTACCATTTCTACTGAATTCGACCCTACTTAGTAAAGGTACTGCACAGTAAAGTCTTAACATAAAAATCAATTCGAATCTAGTCGTATCGAAGCGAATTTTTTGCAAGTGTTCTTCTTCTTCTCTCTTCTATCTTTGTTTAACAATTATTACCAACTAGAGGTAAATTGCACAAAAAAATAATTGAATATTATGAAACATTACAATTATTTTTTCAATTTCAATTATTAATTACAATTATTAAAGTGACATCTGTAGTCAGCGGCTGGTATTTGCTAAGGTACCCCGCTGAGTAAAGAAAAACTTTCATGAACACATGGAAAAATTCGCGTGATCCGTTGGTTCGTTCCGTGGCTTAATTGGCATAGTGTAGACTAAGCAGTATGATTAGAAATACTGGCTGAATGAATGTAAGTTTTATATTTAAAATTGTATAAAGACTGTGAGGTTGTTGTCAAACGGACAAGAAGGGAGTTCTGGATGGAACGTGGATAGCAGCAGGATGGAGACTAAGGCAGCTGGGAGATCTATATTGATGTCACCCAGTGAGCATCCGATGGATGTTCAGGCCTTAACAGATGTCGAATTAACAGCATACGCGTTGAAGATTGTTATTTATTTGGAAATGTGGTTTTTATAATGAGTTGTGGTGTTTTTTTTAAGATTCTGGTAGAATTCAGCCTAGCTAGGAATTTAGTTAAAATAAAAAGTTAGGGTTTAGTTAGGATACCCATTTGGGTACCTATTTAGCTAGGATAGGTAATACGTAAATATTTGAATTGTTTGCTTAGGGAGTGATCATAATCTGTCCTTGTAGATTGGTTTTTGGCAAATTAAAGCCTCCTCGTTGGTTTTGTCGTTGGCAAGGTAATAGCTTCCGAGCAGTGTGTGGCTAGCCTATAGTAAAGGTGATCACATGTGTAAGTTGCCTATCATAGGTAGGGCACTAGCTAGGGATGTTCCCCCCTTCAATTGTGAGGAGGAGGGATGTAGATTAGGCAGTATGAATAGAAATACTGGCTGAATGAGTATAGGTTTTATATTTAGAATTGTAGAATGGAAGGCTGTTGTCAAACGGACAAGATGGGAGTTCTAGACAAAGCTTTCAAATTGAATACACGTATTAAGTTTTATTTGTACTCTACTATAAAACTTAAATAAAAGTTCAATTCTCCAGTTTACAATGTTCATGTACGAGCAAATTCTCGAGAAAAAAAACTCGCTCAATGGTTAAACAACTTCTGCAAATTTTGGACTTATCGTAGACCTTCGAGTTGTCAAATTCCTTTTAGGGCTAGCACAAACCGGTGGACTGCAAGCTAGAAGACATTAAATTTATCAATATATATTTTATACTATCATAATTGAAATATAGTCTGTAGTATAATATAGATGAGAGTTATTCCGATCGCACGTTTGCCATCAGTTCGCGACAAATAAATGTATAAATTTTATATCCTTTGTACGTCTTACGTCTGATGGTTTGCGCTGGCTGAAAGTCAAGCCTTCTCGTAACCTTTTGCGAACTTACGAATACTCCACACTCGTCATTCAATTGTCAGGAAACAGATGTCGATTCCTTAGAACTTTAAGATTGGTGTATCGATCATTTGCGGCCGATATAGCCCGATGCCTGTACTAGCCGTCGATTGATTGATTCAGTCTCCGAATATTGCCCATAGACACGCTGCACTGAAAACAGAGTTATTCGTAGTAATCCATTTACACTGCCCCATTATCATAACTAACGTAATCGACATTTTTTATAATTGGAACTTGAGTTATTAATACTTCTGGGATTGCTATTTGGTTTTTTAATCGACTTCAAAAAAAGGAGGAGGTACTCAATTCGACTGTGTGTTTTTTTGTATGTATGTTACACGATAAGTCCGCGTTTGTGAACCGATTCTCGATGATTCCTTTTTGTTGGAAAGAGGGTACCTCAGATGTGGGCTCATTTAAATTTGAAGAAAATATTACACCTCTAGGGGTGGCAAACTATGAATGATTTTTGAGATCGGTTTTTTTAGTACTCTGTACTAAGATTATAATAATTGCGCTTTCAATGATGTGGGAAGGGCATTTTAGACACATGAATTACTTTACATCTTATTTAGTTTTATTGTTAAGCAAAATCAACGTAATTGACATTGTAACTGATTGGTCCAGTTTAGTTACATGTAGATATTTAATTTGTAAATAAAACTCAGTAATACTTACACATACAGACCTTCAAACAGATGCACAAACACACGCAAACAGAGAAAACTAACCATACTCCCACTTGACTCAAACACTTTTCTTTTTCTTTTTAAACAATTAAATATTATTATTGTTTATCTCAATGTTAACGCATTGGAGAATTCTTCTAATGTACTAAATATTATAAGAAATGTTATTCTCAAGGAGTGGAGACCTGGTGTCTTGAAACACAGGTCTTGAGCCTAGTTTAGTCTTCAGTCTCCCACAATATCTATAGGATGGTAAGTAACTTTTATTTTGTTATATTTATGTAGTCGTATTATGGTGAGAAATAAACAAATGTATTATTATAAGATGACAAAAAACCTAAGGTGCCAATAACTCGAAAGTTACCGGAATGCAAATTATGACAAGGGGGCAGTGTATGACTTTGACCATAGGTCACCGCCCACTTAGGATAGGTAAAAAATTTCAATACCCACCACCACAAAAAATAATTGAAGACACGTATTTTTTAACAATAAGTAATAACTTAACATAACAAATCAGAAGTAAAAAAATTATATATACATATAGTTTATATAAATAATTTAGGTTTTTTTTTTCAAGTGCGATAGCACCTTCTGGGCAGCATCAACGCCCTCCAATTGCCCCTACCGCCCTAAGTCCCTTCAGCGCCCACTACGAGGCGGTAGGGACCACTTTGGGAAACTATGACTTTGACCAAGACCTTGTGACGATGCGACCTCTTTCACCGTCATCCCACCTTTTTATCACCCTTTTCTCTGGTGCCTGGTCACTTACTTTTGAAATTTTGAATCGTTCTATAATTATTTTTCTTCGCCATTCTTACTTAGCCTCGTTCCACCGCCACTCCACACAAAATTCTCGAGGCGAGGAGACGTGCTCTTAATCATGTAACGTAACTGCTTATAGAGCAGCAATAATACGAATACAGGCCCTTTTGGACCTATCCTTTCTTTCTTCATTCCTTCATCTTTTTCTTGTTATATCTCTACAATAAATTCATGCGAACCGATCGTTACTTACTTTCATTACTCTAAGCGAGACCCGCGTGACAACCTATTTGCACCAAGGCACCTGCTTCAGCTTCACCCACCACAGCTGAATCAATAACAGAAAATAGTCAGAAAAAAATCTCTCAATTCACATTAAAAAATAAAATGGGGTTATTTGGCACATAAAATGGTTTTCGGTATCGTTTGAATTATTCTTAGGAGTATCGTTAGGGGTACGGTCTTTGCTGTACTTTTAAATTTAGGTTTGACATATTATATATATATTTCAATTTTTTGTAAATAAACTTTTCAACGAATTTAAATTGTTCTTCAACGCATGTCTATTATTAAATGACGATGAAAAACATTACATTTTCTAACTGTCAAATACAGTATCCCTTCTAATACCTGCTGATAGTTTCAATATAAACGAACTAAAATTATTAATTTATAACTCGAAAACTAGCTTTGTTTACATCAGTATAGCAAATATTATACAAAAATATTACTTATTAGGCATCATTATATTTTAACAATATTTTTTTATTATTTATACTTTCTTGCTTTATATTAACTAAGTATTGTTTACACCAGAGATTATGGTGAGTATCATAGTATCCCTTGACATTGTAAATTTAAATTGTAATAAATAATGTCATTGATCATTTGAAATTTAATTTTAACTTTAGTTAAGTTATAAAGTTAATTAAATTTATATTGATTTGATATTCAATTATTTTTTGTGAAATTACTCCACTAATTTGTTATAATTATTAATACAAAGATCGAACACTCAGAAAAAATTCCTTTGATCCGGTCGGATTCGAACCGACGTCTTCTTGCTACGACGCTATACCAACTAAGCCACGGAACGAACCAACGGACCTCACGAATTTTTCTATGTGCTTGCGTTGTGTGTTTGTATTTGGTTTTTCAACGACTTTTTAGTCGTAGCGCCATCTATGAGAAGTCTATGAAAGATTTATCACCCAGTTAGTACCTTTACAGCTACCAGTCCTGGCGAGAGATGTCGCTATTGACTGTATTCATTAAATTTTTATTGCAACAATTAAATGCATCAACAGGAATTGGAGCGGGCTTTAAATACCACTGATGTTTCCATTTGCATTTTTAATTTTCTAAATTTTTAAAAGTTTTAAAATTACAAAACACTCGCTTCAGATTGACAACACAAAAATCTGATATGTAATCGAATTTAATACTCTATAATTTAGGTCTTTTTTGTGTTCAGACTGAATCTTGACTAAAATCAGATCATTTTCTTTATAAAATGTAAAAATTTGTATACTATTTGTTGCACTATTACAAAGTTTTACAAGGCAATTTGAGAAGATTCGTATACTACACTAATAAGAAACGTTTATTTGTTGTCTGCGTTTAGACAAAACAATTGATGAAATGGGTCACGATATAAAAATCTTTGTAAAAGCATTTTTTAAATCCTGATACCATAATGCTTTTAAAGTCGTGTGACGTAAAGCCTACATGCATCGTAAATCCAAAACGGCCGTAGCCTGTTGCGCCGGTGCTACGGTGTAGCCCTAACATCGTAGCCAGTAACACGTCGCGCGCCTTCGTTTCCGCCCGTGCTACGCTACGAGCTCCACGCCTTTCATTTCACTCCATTTCACTCGTGAAAGTTTTTTATTTTCATACCTTTGCGTTGTAGGAATTCCTTTTTTAAACAAAACAAATGGATGTAGTTAAAGTTCTTGTGATTTTTTTTCTATAGTGCAAAAAAATGCGAGCTTGTGAAAGTTTTTGGTGGAGTTGGTGAGTTTGCTTTAAAACTAATTGTTTTAAAATTTTGATAATTGTTAGTTTAATTATAATTAATATTTGAAATATTAATTTAGAATCAAATTAATAAATAATTAATCATTTTATTTTTTCGTTATTAATATATTTATTCATTATTTTGTTATTAATTGAATTGAAATCCTGTTACATTGCTTGTTAGCTGATTATGATTTTTAAAAACAATGAAGATCATTATAATGATAATTATAATGAACTTATCATAAGATGGATATATATTTTATATGTAAAACTAAATGTAATAATCAATTGATGGGCATAATTATGAAATAATGTATAAAAATAATACCACTATATATATTTGTACAAAGTTCAAAAGAAAAACCACATCAAAATCAGGGACACGACGACAAAGGGTGAACTTCCAAGGTTTTTTATTGTAATCTGTTTTTATTTCAACAAGCAAAAATGTTCTACGGCAATATACGTAAAATTGTACAACGGAAATACACATAGAATATGTGATTTTTGAGCCCAATCCATACTACTACAATACTATTGTTGGGAGACATTGGTTGATAAATTGATTTAATTTGTGGCGATACAGGTTCAACATGTTAACTACAAGTTCAATTTCTCTTTGTACAGCCATACCTTTGGCATTATGTAATTATATCGCGGATTTGATAAAGTATTACCAAAACTGACACTTCAAACGCTTTACGAACATGGTTACGTACATGACGAACTGAAATAATAAGAAAGGATCAGTACCGAAATGGTGTTTTAGTTGTTAATGTAGCAGTAACAATGAAGTGGGAACTACAAGTTATAAAAAATTAAAAAAGTTGATGTCCTTGGCCAACTTGAACATGTAGATTGAAATAAAAACGATGATCGAGTTCTGAGGTTTTGTGATTTTTACATAACACAAGAAACTATTTTTTTCGGATGTAAATTGCGTATACTTGTGTTTTCAAACAATGCACGCGAAGGATTTAACACTAAGCATACTTTTAGTAGCAGTAGAGCTCCTTGTGAAAGAGTTCGTCCAGGGAAGTACTACAACCTTACCTATTTCTGCTGGCAAGCAGTAATGTCAGCATTATTGTGATCTGGTTTTGCTTGGTACAGGTACTGGTGAAATTACAGGTACATGGGACTTGTCAACTTATGCCTCAGGGTGACGGTCGCAGTGGCAGATCCCTCAGATCTTTACGATTTAAAACTCTGAGTGGCACTGCAACTGTTATGGACAGGGGTCCAGCTTACCGTCAGGCGCACAATTTGTTCGTCCCTTCACTTGATATTATATGAACTTAGCCTTAACCATAGGACCTGTAAAGGATCTGAAATATGGTTTACATGAAACAACAAATATACGCGAATTAGGTTCTAAACAATAGTTTCATTGTCTAGTAAAAGCGATAACTATAACAAACATACTTTACTGTTGAAATAGACTTGCTATGACGCAACAAGGCTAAAAAATAAAGAGTTCCTATAATCGATTCTAGCAAGGTTTATAATGGCCACTTTTGTATCGATTTAGTGCCTATTGTTTAAATGAACTAGTTTTCTACACTGAAAAATATTGAGTTTAATCAAGTAAGCCTTCCATGGTACTTGATGGAATCAATCACTAGATGATTAAGTGCATTACTTAACGTTGCTGCAATCATTGTGTTCGATACACTAATTCGGAACAATAATTTTTATGATCACCATAAACAACAAGCAAGTTATTCAAGCTAGTCAATCATATTGTTTTTCAATGCATTTCCTTTTACTACTTATTAAAGTAGTATCAGAATATGTAATATTGATTGTAATTAATATTGTGATATTTTACTACCATGATATTCATTTAGTTTTTGTGAAATTACTCCACTAGTTTGTTATAATTATTAATACAAAGATAGAATGCAAAGAAAAAATACTTTCATCTGAAAGGACACGAACTTGCGTCTTTACGCAGATTTCAGATCCAGATACGACAGGTCGTTCTGGTTTGGTATAGACCAAACCAGGACGACCTATCGGATCGAAGGAATTTTTCTTTGCATTAGAATACGTTTTCTGTTATTAAACGGAAAACAAATTGTGATTCTCGGAGAGAAAAGCTGCCAGCAGTTTGCACATCCCGTTGATGGATCTCAACTAATTCACAGGCTAATAAAAGTGAAATTTATACTCCTACTACTATAAAAGAAGGCAAAAATTTGTTTCAAAAGATCTTTGTGAACTTCAGGAAGGCTCAAAGAACTGTCGAGGAATATCGCTCACACTGTAACTATTTAAATTTCAATGAGGGCAAATGCGTAAAAGTTTTCTGGTCTCTTTTAGTTTCTGAATAGAAACAAAGATCTTTAGTTTTTATTCAAAACAACCTTTGATTACACTATCTAGGTATGAGGAATTTGTGGGTTCAGTCGATTCGTCAAAATTTATTCTGATCCGAGTTTTAGTAGTGCCCCTGGAACTATCGAGATCATAGTACTCATAGCTGAGTTTCCTAGTAATAATGTGATTTCTAAGTACATTTAAGTAAATTACGTTTGGTATAAGCGCGGAGTAAACAATATGCTTCTTACGAAGTATTTTATAAAGAGGTACAAGTCGTTAGGCGTTAAGGTAAGGACGAGGCGATCGATCATTTTAATGTTATTCTCATACCGTATTTTTAATTCATTCTAATGGGCTCCACCATCTCCGTTCTAAACGTTTTAAGCATAAATTATTTAAACAGTCACCAATTGATTTGCGGTCGTATTGTTACTTTCTTGCTACCATTTTATATAAAAATCACGTTTCTCAGTCACAATGACTGATATTTTCCATAACGTAGAAAGCTTTTCATTTTATATAGTCGCTGACATTATATTAATACCAATTAAGAAGCTTTCACGAAATTCTACTTTTTTCGTATATTATATAAATATTATATAAATATATACATATATATATATATATATAAATATTATAATACGAAAAAAGTATACTTATGTATATGTATACTTAAATTATACCTTAAATTATATTTAATTTATTTTTTATTTATTTACTTCATGTACATAACGTAATGATTAATTATTGATTACGTGTACCTATAAATAAAGAAACATTCTATTATTTTATTTTTTTTAATTTATAATATTACATAAAAAAGAAGAATAAAGAAAACACATGTAAGCAACACGCAAAGAAAGTAAAGTACTAAGCGGTTTAAACTCCCCAGTTTAAATGATGACACAAGCATACTATTGAAAGAATTTTCAATTTAGTTTTTGTTGTCCCGTTATCAATCATACGTCAACGACAGGGTTCGGTCGTATCCGAGACGCACGTCTGCATCAGATTTTATTTAGACAAATATTTTTATAGATCACTGGCTACAAAATTGACATGAAGTACGCAGATTACTAAAATTACATCTTTTGCATTCAATATGGATAGTTACGTCTTTAAACATGTGTAAATTCGCATCTGATGTAAAAGCTCTGTTATAACGTTATTTAGGATATAAAATCTACGTCTCGTTACTTAAAAATAAACTTACAAAAGTGAACAATAGGAAGGAAGGATTAATTTCAAAATTCAACCGTGTAAAATTGCTATCGAAGTCAAATTTTACATCTGTTTTGTACCTATGACAACCTCAGCAGCCAAACGGTGCTACTACTACTGTGCAAACCAGCGTAGTTAATTCCCGGTAGCATCAATTTAGGAAATTATATTTTCTGAATTGGTTCTGGTCCAGGTGACACTACTGTGTCCCAGAGTAAATTGCGCTGCTCAATTAGTCATAGTACAGGGAATGTGATCTGACAAAAAAATCAATATTCCTGAAATACAACATCGTATAAGTAAATTAAATGAAAAAAAAGTTGATACAAACAAGTATTAAAATAATAGGTAATTAAAACAAGTCCAGTTACAATTTTTTTTACAACGTCGTCGTTGTGTTTATCAGTGTATTACTGTCAAGTGGTTTAGTCACAAACTTGTCGAAGATTTTATTAAATACCTAAATCAAGATCTATTGATACATTGAACAACAATGTCTGTTACAAATTCTAAAAAGTAACTCATCCAACGCGTTATCTTTCTCTAATAACTTCGTGATCGTTTGTAAATTGTGATTTCGTGTGATTATGAAAGCATTTCTAAGCTGAATATTTTCGGTAGGGACAGGTAGGGATAGACTACCCGACAGTTAGAGTTTAGAATTTGAATTTGAGGTCCTTCGCGGCAACGCGTCGGTTGATTTTTTTTGTCGTCGACCTTTTTTTTCAGTAGCATTAGGAAGATTATTTTGAAAGAGTTCGTCCAGGGATGTACTCCCATCATACATATTTCTGCCGCCAAGCAGTAATGTGAACATTATTGCGTTCCGATTTTAAAGCGTATGAGGTACTGGTAAAACTAAAGACATATGTGACTTGTCAACTTTTTGTTTGTTTTTTTTATAATATCAAGTGACGGGACGAACAAGTCGTGCGCCTGATGGTATGGCTCATAGTGGCGAACGCAGTGGCAATGCCTCTTGGGTGGTTTGCGATTTAAAGATCTGCGATTTATAGACAGGCGTGTCGCTTACGACTTGTTCTTCCCATAAATTTATATCATAAAAAGAACACTTTTGATGATGATGTCTCTAGAAGACGGTGCACTTATATATCAGATAACTGGAATTTTATTTACCTTCTCGAAAATGAGAATGTCCCTAAATAGTTAAATCATTGGAACTCCCTGTAAAATTGTTCGTTTGTTTCATTTTGGGTAGAGCTTAGTTTATATACCTCGAGCACTCGTTTAAAATGTTTAATTTTATCAATGACTTTTTATATAATAACTAATGAAGAAGTTTGGTTTCATCGACACATTTATTATACAAAGTAAGATTTCCAATATTGAGCGTAAAGAATAATATTCTTATTATGATGTTTATTACCACGACATTCATTTATTTTTGTGAAATTGCTCCACTACTTTGTTATATTATTAATACAAAG